CCCTAGTTCCAAATGATAAGTCGGATAGATCTCATCTTTGTTAGGATTGGTTTCATGGATTACTCGATTATATGCGGTCTGCTGTGTGGCAAACAGAGAGCTAGATTTCTTGTACAGAGCTAACATCTCTTGTTGTTTCGTTAATGTTGGGTACATGTTTTGAGAGGGTGACTTTATATGATACATTCCTCAGTCTATCCTGTTAGCATCCACCCTTATTGCTTCTAGTTTTTTAATCTCTATTACGCTAGCCAGTTGTTACAGGCATACAGTAGGCATAATATTCTGACAAAGTTGTGATGTCAGTTGAAGCTAATTATGTGTTCCTTGGTTGCAAACGTTGCATATCGGACCCGTTCTATTCATTTTTTTTTGCTTCATAAGCCAAGGGCAATGGATCTATAGAATGTGAAGGGCTTATCTTTCAACTTCATTACTAAACTTAATTCAGTGTTAAAAAATAAGAGCCTTGGTGGAATGAATGTTTTCCCTCAAAATCGTGGCACTGTGATGGTGCTTCCTAACCTTTTTCTTCTGTTGTTTAGGCCCTTACATCAACTGCACTCAAGAAAGGAGGACTCCACGCTGCTGATGTTGCTACTCAGTACAAGTACAAGAACACCTTGTTCGATGTCAAAATCGATACTGAATCAAATGTGAGTTAATCTATCTGATGAACAAAATCTCTCTTGGAAGGTCGTGCTAGCTTGTACAAAACAACTCTGATAACTTTTCTGTTTTTATTTTGGGGGGCAGATCTCCACAACCATCACATTCACTGAGGTCCTTCCATCCACGAAAGCCATCGCCTCCTTCAAAGTGCCTGATTACAACTCTGGCAAGGTTTGAACAGAGAGGATCATTTTCAAACCCTTTTGATAATAATAACCCTTCAATGATTTTAAAAAACCCTCCCTTCTAATAACTCGCTTTTTTTTCCAGCTGGAGGTTCAATACTTCCATGATCATGCAACTCTCACCGCTGTTGCAGCTCTTAAGCAAAACCCTCTAATCGACGTAACAGCTACTCTCGGTACACCGACCATTGCATTCGGTGCAGAAGCCGGATACGACACTGCTTCCAAAACTTTCACCAAGTACAATGCTGGGATCAGTGTGACAAAACCGGACGCTTGTGCCTCCATTATACTGTAAGCCCATTTTTTTATTCAGATCTCTTGGAGAACGAACTAATTCTCAGGTCTCTCCATCTATAATCTGAAATTTCCATTTCAGGGGAGACAAGGGAGACTCGATAAAGGCATCATACCTGCATCATGTAGACGAGGCGAAGAGAAGTGCGGCAGTGGGGGAAGTGTATAGGAAATTCTCAACGAACGAGAACACGGTAACAGTGGGTGGATTATACGCAGTGGATCATTTGACGACCGTGAAAGCAAAGCTTAACAACCACGGTAAGCTCGGGGCACTTATCCAGCACGAGGTTGTGCCCAAATCGCTAGTGACCGTATCTGGTGAGATCGACACTAAGGCTCTGGACAAGTATCCGAGGTTCGGTCTCTCCTTAGCTCTGAAACCTTGAGTGAGAGAGAGAACACGCGATGGACTTTGGTCTGAACTCTGAAGCTTTTTCACTTCATGAATCTCATCATCATCGTTTCTACGGCGGCTTCTTTTGGGGATTTGCGTTTTCCAAATAATCATCTCCGCAGGCAAACAAACTGACGGTTTATTATTTCTTTTTTAAGACCGTTTTTGTTTTTTTTTTTGGCTGTTAATCCCAAGGATTTTACCAATTTTTCGCAATATCGGCACCCTCATTCTCTAACCTGAACATGTCAAATTTCGGTACATTCCGACCACGGCAGTTTATTGGGGGTTTGATTATATTTGAATCGATTCACTTATCTTGGATTTAAAAAGTCTATAACCACTTGATTTTTATATTTAATTATTCAATCTTTGAATTCGAATTATAAATTCGATTGAATTTCAATTATTACTAATGAAACTATTTAATCAAAGAAATTTTGGTTTTTTCAATTCGTTCTGATTCTGATTTGATTTGGTAATGTCTGTCTATATGTTATTCGATAACCAAATTGAACCAACACTAATTTCGTTTCGACAAGAGTGAAATGAACATACAATGAAACATCCTAAACGCCATACACAACAATCATGAAACAAAATATTCATCATAATAACAAAAAACACAAAATAACTTGAGTGGGTGGTTATTAAATCATCCTCATAAGTAGATCGAAACAAAGACGTTCTCATGTCCGCAACCAAACCCTAAATTTCCATCGCGAAAACAAAGTAAACACGGAAAATAAAAAACAGATTAACCTGGGAAAGTTTTTTTTTTCATAGATCAATCAACGCTCTGCATGACATCCTCCGCACTGAACTTAGTTCCCTTGTCCTTATCCGCAGCCGCCTTACCCTTCGCCTTTCTCTCGAGCAACGACTTCCTGTCCTTATCCAGCCTCAGCTTCGTTATCACCACCTTTGACGGGTTTACCCCCACGTTCACCGTCGTCCCGTTCACCTTCTCTCGAGTGATTCGCTCTACGTGAATCACCCACTTCCGGCGGTATACCTGCACCACCTTTCCCTCCCGGCCCTTGTACGTTCCCCTCACCACCTGGATCTCGTCGTCCTTTCGCACCGGCATCGATCTGACGTTGTACTTCTGCCGAAGGTCGGTCGAGAGCGGCGCGCTCATCAGGACGCGCCTCACGCTCGACGGTGCGGTGAAGTGAGCCTTCCTGTTCTTCCGGCGAGACGAGCTCACTCGCGGGTTGTACTTCATCTTCTCCCCCCTGTGAAAAAGAACGAGGAACCTAGGGTTTTTTTTGTGGTTGAGGCCGACGAAATGCGGTTTGAACTGAGATTATAAGAAATCCCCAAGACGGAGGAAAACGGCGCCGTTTGGCTGATGGCAGAATTAGGGTTTTCCTTTGATCTCTGCACTCTACTGGTCCGTATCTCTTTTAAGTGAGTTAATGGGCCTGGCCCAATACTGAGAAATACCCATTTTGAAGCCCATAATAAACTTCACGGTTCTCCCACTGAAATTGATCACACAACACAGCACCACTTCATTGTCTAACAGATTTTTTTAATCCAACATCCGAAACCCAGCTCTTTTTTTTTATAAGATAAATCCTTTCAAATTTTATCCCGTGATTCTTTGTATAAAATCTATTATTAGATACTAATCTAAAAGATCAATTCATAATTATTACAAATGTTACAAAACTAGGATGAGGAATATATAATAATATAGAATTGTGCATATCCATGTTGTCCTTGTACAACTACGCAATGATTTTGGTTAAATTGAAGTCGAAACACAAAGTGGCAGGATTGATACTAAATAGGGTGAATAAGAGAGATGTTGGGTGGTCCCTCTACCTGAATCAAAGGGTCATGGAAATGGAAACACTTTAAAGGGCATTCACATGCAATCCCTTTATATTCGCCCTACCCTATTTATTAGTTATTACACCCTTTACTCCCAGTTCTTCCCCTCCCATTCTCAAACCCTAACCGACGAATTCAAAACCTCCATAAAAACTTGTAGTTTTATTCTCTTTCGAACCAAAAAAGAGAGAGAGAATGAAGGGCTGGACGAATCTAGGAGTTGTGGATACGATATATGAAGAGGAAGACAATGGCTACTCTTCATCTTCATCTTCTTCTTCTTCGTCTCTTTCACTTCAACGTATAGATCTCTCCTCTCCTTCCCCTCCTCTTAAATCCAGACTCCAGGAAATATGGTAACACCTCTGTCAATTGTTTTCTATTATTGTATGTTAATATAAGATAAGATCAAACTTGTATTTATTTTATGTTCCTTTAAATTTTGGCGTGTCTTCATTCCGTGACCATTATATCTTCAAAATTAAGGTCATTGGCTAGGGATTCTGCGCCGGATGTGCTTGTACATGTGAAAGGAACAAGCTTCCATCTGCACAAGGTACTATCTTTGTTTTGACATTGATGTTATCTTATTCGAGATTCCGAATACTCGAAATGGGATCGATGATTGGTTTTTGCCTTTCATAATTCACAGCTACATTTCCGATCGTTATTCTCAAAAGGGTAACGCAAAGTTATGGCCTTTTTTTTCTTATATTAAATGCCCATTTACTACCGAAAAAAATGCGAATTGCAAAAAAAAATGTATGGACATTTACTGTAATGCTGCAGAAGTTTTGAACTTTTGTTTTCTTCTGTTCATCGTTATCCTTAGGATCCTCTGTCCAAAAGAAGTGGGTATTTAAGACGCCACCTAACGGGCGTCTCAGAATTAACTCTCTCCCCGCCGTTAAACGTAACGGCCAAGACGTTCTCTTTAGTGGCAGGTTTTTGT